TGTTTATATAGGCAGAAAGAGATGTAACTTCTTCCACCATGATCTAGTATTAAGTTGCAGATGTAATGGCCAATGGTAATTGGTATTAATACTGGGCAGTTAAAACTGTCATATTCTACTGGCTAGTTGACCCATTAAATAATTCTGAAAATGATTAAAAAAAAAATAATAACTATTTTATTAGAATCAAAGACTTTTTAATATAGTGCGTGAGGCGTGACTCAAACACCTGACCTCCCACACAAATTCCACACTTTTCACCAGTTGGGCACTTCATCTTAATTAATTATTTTTTTCACATATTATATTTATTGTATAAATATATAACAATATATATACATTTTTTTTTAAAAAATTTCTCTCCATGTAAATAGATAAACTCAAAATATGAAGTATGACTGGCTAAGGTTAAGATTAATAATTTTTTTAAATAATTCTTTTATTTCTTTAGATAATTATACATTTTTTTTACTTTGAATAAAAAGCTATTTTAAAAGGTTTCCTAGCAGAAAACTCCCTACAAATTTGATCATGTACAATATATTCCCTTATTTATTGGAAATCGCAAAAAAATGTCCCTTTTTGAAATATTTTGTTCAAAATATCTCCCTACCGTCAATTCGTCAAATGTGCCGTTAAATCCCATTAAATAGGGAGAAAATGGATAATATGGAAAAGGCAGAATCGTCATTTCATATTGTCCTCTTTAATAAAGCCAATAGAAAACCATTAGGGGGCTTTGCGCAAGACGAACAGACACGAAGGTAAGAAATCTGGTTGCTAACCCACGTTTCAAGATTAAATCCTCCTTTGCCCACGATACTAGAAGTTTCTTTCAACGCATCTGAATGCCAACAATTGTCATTCTTCAGCAACGATGTGACAATAAGTTGTAGACATAACTTTTTGTTTTCAAAATGTGTGCATGAACTTGTAAAATCTTGGAATGGGCTCTTGAAATTAGTTTTTTTTGTTACGTTTACAGTTTCATTGTGATCATCGAGAATGTAGCTACAAAACTCAGAGGATTTGAAGATGCTCATGTATATGGTAAATTTTCCTGTTTTGACGGTTTAAAAAATGAAGTTTTTTGTTTAAATTTTTTTACATGTCATTGTTGAAATTTTGTTGTAAAACGTGTGTGCATGTTGTTTGCTGTGAGTCTTGAACTACTTTCTGTACTAGCCTTATTGTTATTTTCATCCAGTTGGATACACGGGCTACTTCACAATGACTATATGCAGTGGGGGTGTGTTCTTTGAGAAGCAAAATAATGTGAAGTACGAACACGGTACGGTGGTGTTTGTGGACTATGTGTAGGCTGATTATTTCAATAGGGATTGGTTCGAGGCTTTTGCGTATATTTGTGGAGATTGTGGGGCTCTGGAATTTTACTTCAAGCTGTAAAAAGGCATTTTGGGTAGTGCTTTGATGAGGTTACGTAGTGAATTAGATGTGAGGGAAATGTGGAAGCACCTTAAAGGTCATAGGCTACTTGAGATTTATGTAGTTGTGCCTAATGGGACACATGCATTACCACAAGAACCCCTGCCTTAGGTCCTAGAGTAGTGCATGTAATGAAGGGGATGAAACTACTACGGAAAGTTGCTAGATCTTGGTGTATGATATGGATGAAGGTGGTTTGGGTGGGGTGAACATTGGTAATTGTTTGCTTGAAAATTTGGAGGAGACGTGATCGTAATTAGAGGAAATACTTACATATGAAGGTGGAGTTGGTACTTCACGACTTGAGCAGGTTGAAGAGAACCCGAAGATAGGTGATGAACAACTGGGGCATGAAGGACATAGTGATGATGATAGAATGGAAGATCAAGTTGAAGGCCTCGTGGAGAGTGATTACGAGGTTGAGGATGAACCTGAAGTTGATGAAGAGGCTAAAAAGGAAGTTAACCTTGGTTTTGGATTCTACGATGGGCAAGAAGTTAGAGATACTAATACTGACTACGGGGAGTCAAATTAATTATAAATTTTGGATAGCGAAAAGATTAAAGAACAACATACAAAAAAAGGGAACGAACTAATGAATTCAATCTCTGGGCTAACATGTGGGGTAACCAAATTTCAGAAAAGGTAAGAAAATACCCCCTTAAAGACGACAATATATTTGAATAACCTCCCTGACATTTACAATATATTTTGTCCCCCCATTCAATGGGAAACGTTGTAAAAGACCCCCCCTGGACGGATGTGTTTTGAAAATTGAGCAAGGAGGAAAGCTATCGACTTTTTGGCTTATCATTTTGTCCTGTTAATCTATTTCTTTTGGTGGTCGTAATGCTTTGGTTCTTAATATTTCATGATATGAACGCTTGTTATTGTCATCTAGTAATACTTATTCTATTAATATACTGTTTTTTGTGGTTCTATTGCATTAACTATTGTTGTTTTATTTTGTTTGTATGAATTGAATGAGTTCGAAATAATAGGGTTGTAATTAGCAACCTTCGTCATTCTAGGGTGGTTTTGTGCAAACATACATAAATGTAGGGTTTAAATGCCTTAAATTTATACAGGGTTATATTTCACAGTGTTAAAACATTTTTAGGGTTGTTTTATACAACATATTCAATAGTTAGGGGGTTTTCCGAAACAAATTTAGATCATTTGTTGTGTCATACAACTAAATACCAATGAACAACCATGTAAGAAGAAATGAAATAGTGGAGAAAATTGGAACATCTCATTGAATATTTAACTTATAGAACTTGTACACGAAATCACAATATTCACTAACATCAATTCAGTACACAAATCTATAAGACGGTTGAAGTTTTATTTTCTGACAAAAATCCATATCACTGCATACCCACATAGAAACCCAAAAACCCAAAACCTAAATCTAAAGCACTGCTCTTCCTCTGTAGTTCCAACAACTATTGTTCGAGTTCATTCTTGAATCTCAACAGCCCAGGTATAATCTCAACAAAAATTACTGCACATAAGTGGGTTCAAACCACGAGAAATACCCATAGCCTCCATTTTGCTGTAGAAAAAAAAACCAGAGCTAGGTTTTATGCTGTTAAGCTTAAGCCATTTTAAAACTATTTGAACTTAAAAAGAGATATACCGAGTCGGATCCTCATCATCATCATCAATGGAGGAAAAACGCTACAGGAGAACCAATAATCTCCACCACTCCAGCGGGACCGAAGTGGCGCTTCTCCGGTGCGCGGCCCTCGTTCTACCTTACCTACGCCCGGCAGAACTAGCCGCCATATCATCAACCTGCAAAACCTTGAAACATATCTCCGAAACCGTAACTTCCCGAAGAACCTCCGACGCTTCCAGAGGCTTCGAGAACTTTGCTGTCCCTTCAATCAACCCAGTTGTTGGTGATTATGAACTCTACCCCTACTTTCTCTACACTCCCGTTCAGACCCTCGAATTAAACCCCGAATTTCATCAATCATGGGGCTCCGACACTGATACCGGACTCGATTTCCGGAGACTGGATCCCTTCCTGTTCCGGGTGGAAGGCGCCCACGGATGCGAATGTGTGATGTGCGCCAGTGGGGACTCATCGTGTCCTTGTCTGGACTCGGACGAGTTGTTGCTGTCTCGGGAGTGCGGGCCGAGCTGCAGGTGCGAGATCGGATGCGGCAACCGGGTGACTCAGGGAGGTGTGTCGGTGAAGCTGAAGATAGTGAAGGATGAGAGGAAAGGTTGGGGTTTGTATGCTGCTGAGTTAATTCCGAAGGGAAAATTCGTGTGCGAGTATGCAGGTAATATTTTGGAACTCAAAAGGATCAAAATTGTTACATCTAATGCTTGCATCTTTTAGGTTGTTAAACTTTAAATATTAATTTTTCTGTTATTTTGGGGCTATTCTAATAATCATAATTTGATTATACTTACTTTTCGATTTACATTGTCCACTGCTACTTGTTTTTATGCTGCCTGGAATTTGGTATCTTGATAATTGAAAACATAATATCATTTCAAATTTAGAAGAAACTCTATCATTCAAGTTGGAAGCTCTAATCTCTAGTGCATAAACACAGTACCTGAAGCCATATTCTACCACTAGATTAAAACTAATTAGGGTTTAGAGGCAATGAGTATGTTGTACTTAAAACAATAATAAATCATTATTGAATAAACTAAAATGGAAGTAGGAATTGTCTTAGTGACCTTTAATTGGTTAATCTTTGTCATGTACAAAAGGTGAGCTTTTGTCTACTAAAGAAGCAAGACGACGACAACAAATGTATGATGAACTTGCATCAAGCGGGCGTCTATCCCCTGCTCTTTTGGTTGTGAAGGAGCATCTTCCATCTGGAAATGCATGCATGAGGATCAACATTGATGCTACAAGAGTTGGGAATGTTGCTCGATTCATTAATCACTCTTGTGATGGCGGAAACATCAGCATAGTAATACTCCGGAGTTCTGGGGCTTTGCTGCCTCGTATTTGCTTGTTTGCGTCCCGAGGTATACAAGAAAATGAAGAGCTCATGTTTAGTTATGGAGATGTTAGGCTGAAGCCGAATGGCCAGCAGTGCTTTTGCGGTAGTTCTTCTTGTGCTGGTGTCATGCCTTCTGAACATACATGAGAATAGAAAGGTACAGTGGTCTAATTAGTGTTTGTTGTGTTCTAAATGGAAGCACTTTGTTCCTCCATATACTGGCATACATATTAGAGAAAATAGTCGAGTCCATAAAAAATCTTCATGGTATCTGCAGGTTGATTTGGTATCTTTTAAATGCATTTACATGCTCACATGACAACAGTAAGGACTGGCACAATAGCCCTCCTGGATTTGCTTCCATTGCTAGGTAACATACTGAGCTTGAAATTCTTCGTTTTCATATTGTATCACCCGAATTATTTTCCTTTCAACAAATCATAATGAAGTGGAGTTGATGCCAGTGCATTGTTATTACATGTACCAGTAAGAGAAAACATATTTATTGGCATCTATGTGAAATGAGTTTTGAAAAATTGTAATGATTTAGTATCTAGAATAAGTAATTATATTTAAAATTCTCTCTTGTATTGTTTCCTCAAAAGCATCAGAAATAATTGTCATCTTTAGCATATTCACTAGCTATGATTTGTGGTATATTGTTTTTTCTTTTATATCAAATAACCTAGTTAAGGAAAAATTGGTGAATCTGAAAAACTGAAAATGGTAAATGATCTATGTAGAAGTTGAAATTTTTGAAAATTTAGAAATTAGGATGAAATTTAGCCCCTGTTTGGTTTAAGAGTTTGATAAAAGTTGATGGAATACTTCGTTGAAAAGTTGTGGGTCTTATGAAATTTGTGGTTACATGAATATTTAGTTGAAAAGTTGTGGATCTTATGAAATTTGTGGTTAAAGTTAATTGAACCAAACAGTTACATTACACCAGTTTGCCATAATTTGTAATCTAGGTTCTTTTCTGTCCGTTGACTGTTTATAATTTGTTTATAATAGGTCAAACCTAAGTAGATAAGATTTACTGCTTGTTTGGCATTGTTTATAATCGTTTAAGGCATTTCAAGCCTACTTTTTATTCACATATTTTGTGGGAACCACAAGTACTACTTACTTATTAAACACTCATTTCTATCTTTTTATAATTTAAATGGTCTATAAACAATTTCCAAACATGCTTTTAGGAAATTATCGGGCCTCTTGATTCTTGAGAACTGAAAGCAAGCATCTCATTGCATCTGCTATTTTACAATGGGCTGTTAATGTGACGACTCTAAAGGTGAAATTGCAGAGCTTTTGATACTGTGAGAGACTCCTCCAAACATTTTTTGAACCTCATCAAGGATTGCAAATAACTTCTTTGATACAAGGTTTATTGACTGGATCCTAAACGTGAACAACTAATTGCTTGAGCAGCATCAAACATCAAGATTTTAAATAGACTTTTAAAAGCATGTTTGAGCCGGAAGAAAAGCTGTGATTATAGTCATCACAGAATGCGAAAATTAGGAACCTGAAACTCTAGGAGTTAGTGTAGCAAGGCTTTTCAAGAATTTTGGGGGAATGTTGCGTGATCTATTTCGCTTGATTTTTTATTTTTTATTTTTTTTCCTTGGCAGAATTAAGTGTAGAGTATTAACAGATTGCCAAGTAGTTAGGCACTATGCTGTATGCAACTGCTAAACAGGCTTGAAAATACCATTTTTCTTTACATCAGGATTTTGCTTTCTCTCTCAAAAATGGTCCTCATAAAACATCGAAAGCAATCAAATCATATTCTTGTCACAATTATTGTTAAGAATCTTCAATTGCCACTGTGGTCAAGCTTCTCATAATTCATAATGAGAGCACAGTTTCGAATCTGACTCAGTGCAAATGTGATAAAATTTTGCTTTGAACCCATTTGGTAACTAACCGGTTATGGACCGGTTCGAGCTGTTCTTAACCGGTTCATATACTAATGAACCATTTAATACAAGCCAGACCGAACCATTGTCCCGTTTATTGGATCCAGGTCCAGACCTGTTTTAATAATTATGAATCATATTTTTTAAGAATCATATTTTTTAAGCTACATATAACAATAACTTTATTAGCGTCGATTGCTTTCTACATGTTTGGTTGTGCTTAAAAGTGGGCTGTCAAATGTATTCTTTAGCACAACCTTGATAAGAGATGTTTGTGGAAGTACGGTCCTAGTGAGTTGGTTCGCTTACTTTACTTGGTTTTAATGTATACGCCTTACATTTAATTGTGGTAGTGTTTTTAACATTGGTTAGCACATGGTAGATATCAGTATCATTTAGTCCATGACTCATGCCTCAAATCGTTTTCTACCCCTTTCATTTGTCATGCTCTCTCTCTCGATCATAGCATTGCCTGTTATGTCGTTCACATCAATGTACCGTTGAAATATGTTGCAGAAATGGTTGCCTTTCCCTTCCAGTCTTTGAAGAAGTTGAACTAAATGACACACACAGTTACTCCGAAGCTAATTATGCACTTTTGGATGCTGTTTGAGGCCATCTTCAAGTTTTAGATAGCATGTTTGGAACAATTTATTTATTTATTTTTTTGTACTTCTGTCACTACTGAGCATGAATTCCTTATGACAAATTAAGCTTTCCATTTGTAGGTTGCTCACCAGCAAAATTCAAGACTAAAAGTATAATGTAACTTCTGCCTTTGCATTTGATCTTATGCAAGGCCGTTGCTGTATCAAGGGTAAAATTTGTGTTCTGAACTTCATTTATTTGATAAATGATCATAGATAACATTGGGACAATTCCTTATATTCAAGAGTTTGACGTGGGTTGGATATTATTAGATGATTTTGTCAACAATTCACATAATACAAACATATGCAAACGGTTAAAGTAGAAATACTGTTAATTTTGGTACATAAACAATTGACAAAATAGAAAGTTAACTAATGAGGAAAGGGGTTTTTTGAAATCAAGAAGAAAATTTGAGAACTTGAAAGAAAATATTTTGATCGTATTGAAGATGATGATTGAAAAAGAGTAAAAAAAACCTTTGTTTATGTAGGCAAGTTAAAGTCCCTAATCCTAATGACTTATGCAAGATAAGTAATCAATAAAATGATTGTAGAAAACGAGAAAATTTGAAACCTCGAAAGCTTGTAAAAAACTATTTTGATTGTATGGAAGCAGACGTTTGAAAATTGTACAAAACTTTTGTTTATATAAACAAATTAATTCCTATTGACTTAAGCAAGATAAGTAATTAATAACTTGAAATAAAAAATAATAGTTTTAATCTAAGACTACCTCCAATGGTTATACTATATTTTAGAGAGGTTACATCAAATTTTTAGTATAGGTCTTACACTAAATTTTACACCAAAGTTTATTTTAAATTATTTAATTATAAATTATATTTAATGAACTAAGATATTGCATAAATTAATAAATGTATCATGCTACATGTATATCAATGTTTACACTTAATTAGACATTTCAGTGAGTTGATAGATTTCTGGACATTGATTTTAACAATAATTTTTTCAAACGAAGGCTAAATTTTTGACACATGAGTGTCAAACAAGATGTACATATTTGAATGTACAAATTGCTTAATTCTATAATGAAAATGACAACTCGTTTTATCATTTATTTATCGAAATTAGTATATTCATCCAATACCTCCGATTCTTTTGTTGAATACTTTGACCGTCTTGGGAGGAACTAGAAAAGATCATCCCGGTACTAAATTATTGTCTTAGCCATGTTTGACACCTCTTAAATCAAAATAATTTATTTCTCACATTCGTACTATAAAAATTTTTGAACGTAAATCCAAAACCTTTTCTTACTTTTTAGTCACAAATTCTCCGAAAAAATCACTATTCAAAACATTTTTACACCATAATGACCATCAAACAATTGTAATGTACTTTAATTTATGTTTTTAAAATATTATGTTATTCTAGTGCTAATTTATTCTTAAACCTTTTTATCAAATTTGCATGTTTAACTTTTAATGAATAATTTTAATTTATTGCATCAATAATTATTACTTGATTAGAATTTAAAAATAACCACCACATTAAAACAATATAAATAAATTAAAATCAATAATTCTAAAAGATAAAAAAAAAAAAGGAAAAAAAAAGGATATAGACAGAAGAAAATTTTGTTGTAAAGGGGAAGAGTGCAAAACTTGAAATATTGAAAAACTTCTAATTTGGTGTAAATGAATAGTGTTACACCAAATTTTACACTATTTGCCAACCATTGGATAGCTTTTTAGTTTTTACACCAAATTTGCCTCACCAGGAGATGGTCTAAACAAGAAATCCTAAAACATTTTTTTAAAAAAATTCAATTTGTAATTAAATGTCAAACATCATGAAGAAAGAATGCCAGAAAATTGAGATTGTTACCATATAGTATGAGCTAGAAATATATATAAATGTCAAACCGTGAAAGCACTTGTATTATAGAGTGACGCTAAAATTGTGGTGCAAAAAAAAAAACCTAATCGATAGTCTGGAATCCATGAGCAATAGTTCAGTTATGTGTGAATGATAAAAACGGATATTATATGCAAAATTCAATAACTAATATCTAATATTCGCAATCTAAAAACAGCATTTCAGTCCACTCACAGAGGCACATTCATTAGGTATGTGACCTCTAAAACATACTAAAGTCTAAGGGCAATACCCCTCATAGTACAGAATACTTTCATATTTGTAAAAAGGAAATTCAAAAAACAAGATAACAAAATGCCCACTGGACAGGGCAGACTACGCCTGTATGAAACACGTTTATTGGACTGTAAAATTTTTTTTATTTAAGGTATAGTGAATCGGATAATTTCAGACGTCATGTGCCTGTAATAACTCACTTGGAACTGGCAAGCTGGGCTCTGAGAAGCTTGCAAGCAGCAACCATGTTTTGAAGGGCTGGCTTCACTTCAGTGTACTTGCGAGTCTTGAGACCACAGTCAGGGTTGACCCACAAGATGTTGGTTTCAAGCACTGCAAGCATCTTGTTAATTCTATCGGCAATCTCTTCTGTTGATGGTATCCTGGGGGAGTGGATGTCATAAACACCAGGCCCAATTC